ATGTTACACTCATCAAGAGCTTTCATTTGAGTACCCACATGCATTTTTTATATATTTTTCATATATACATATATATATATATATATATATATATATAAATATATAAAATATATGAAAAATTGATGTGGGTACTCAAATGAAAGGTCTCGATGAGTATAAAATCAGAATGGGCTTATGTTTACGAAAATGTTAATTATTGAGGAATGCCCATTGTATATTGTTAACTAATGATGTTTTTAATGATACAAGCTCATTCTTAAAATTTCTAAATTTAAGACGTGTGTACAGGACAACGTCTGTCGGGTCTGCTAGTAATTTATTATATTTGAATAATTACCATCAATAATAAAAGCTGGGCTAACAGCAGCCGTATAATTAACCGTTGAATTTATACAAATTCCAGTAAAGTTATTATATCCACCCATCCAGGCTAATCTGTGTTCATTACACTCATTAGCTGTCATATTTGGTAACTTTTCTCCGGTAAGTAGAGCAAGAAGTTGTCCAGTAATACTTGTTGCGTGGTTCAGAGAAGAACTTACACCAACATACAAAGGATACGTATGATTGGGTAATTTATTATATCCTGGTATCGAAGCAGCTTGAAATAGATTACATTTAGCACTTTCAAGATAGCAAAATAACATTTCATTGATAAGTTCTTCAATTATTGTTACATTACTACTAGGTGATTTTTGACCTGTTACTTTTTCATATAAAACGTCACCGAGTTTCATAGCTACATGAGCTAAGGTTTTATTTATTTGCTTCCTAAAATCAATTAAAGATAAATAATTAAAATTTTAAGTTAAAAGTATTGGTTATTATTTACAAGCGGGGTCAACTCCATTTTGGGCCATAACTAGGTGAAAAATTAACATTTTTTAATTTTTTTTTATTCTGCTTGTTTTTACGGCGCATTTATGATAAAAAATATCGTGAAAGATAAAATTTTAAGATAAAATTTCTATTTTATCTTTTTTTTTGAAAAGTACATTAAAAAAAAAAAAAAAACAATTAAAAAAAAAATTTAACATAGTCTAGCGTGGGTTGACCCCACTTTTTGTGGGTGCCATTATTTGGTAAATAATTATCAAAAAATTTTTGATATTAACCCTCAGAGTACACTGGGGGTCGTTTTGACGCCAGAATTTTTTTTATCTTAAAATATTTCTCGAAAATACACGAAAAGAATAAGATGACACTGGATATCACCCCAGATTGTACTTAGAGAAAAAAAAATTTTAAGATAATAGCTTGTATAATCTATATTACAATCAGTATAATTCAGATATCACGCAGTATAATCTGGATTTTTCTAGCTATCTGAAATTTTTTTTCACCACAGATATCACTGAGTATAATAATCTGGGATGATATCCAGTGTCATCTTGTTTTTTCCGTGTAGGTTCGTTTTTAATTAATTTTTTTAACATTAAAAACTATTTAATTCAGAACAATAATAATTGTATTCAAAAGAACATTGTTTTACCTATCAAAAATGTATTAACCTGAATTCCGATAAAATGCATAGTTTCTGAGTTATAATTCTTCGAAAGTCAAGTGGGGTTAATTTGACCCGGTGTGTACTCTAAAGTTCCGTTCGAAGGTGTGTACTCCAAGGGTTAAAAATACTATATCATATAATTGATATTACCTTCGAATTCCAAGTGTTTCAGCATTATCTAGAATACCGCCGTAATATTTATTGGTAAATTGTTCACCGTGAGTAGCTAATACTACTGCAGTTAAGTTACGATTTTCAGCGAGAAAGCTTTGTATCGATGCAGGTGGTACGCTGTTGGAAAGTGTTCTATTCTCAAGATCTAAACTCTTTTTAAGATTAATAATAACATCATTATTTTCATGATTATTAGCATGGAGATATAACTGATCATTTCCAAGTTGCCCCAATTCGATGACTGTTTGAATTTTATCGAATTTTAGATTTTTTCCTCCTAAAGCATTGAAGTTGCCTTCTTTAAGATCATAAACAAATCGACTAGATCCAATGTAATCAAATGATTCTCCATTTAGTAATGAAAATACAACATTTGTATCTGAAAAATATTAATGAATTATTTAGATTGTATTATAGTTACAAATAAATAAAAATATTTGGAAATACAACTTACGATTTACAGTAGCATTGAGCAAATTTAAGTAATATGCAGTAGCAAGAAGAGTTATTAAACCTGTGACAGCACTATTTGCACCTGGTGATATGTTATCAAATATAGAACTTGCATCTAGGCGTGCGATAACCAAAACTATCGATTCTGTTTTGTTATTTAAAGGCGATAGAGGCCAATGAATATTTAAATTACTGAGCGGATCACAAAATGCTGTTGGATTCATGTACAATTTTTTACTACGTCTAATGCATGTTTCGGAGTCAACTGCTGCTGTCATAAATGATTGCATTTCCAAAGCACACAGAGGACGTTCTTTTTGTTTATCAAGGTGGTGAGCATTGTGCTTAAAGTAGCAATTTTTTATATTCTCCAATATGCTATCATTCTGAAATAAAAAATATTATGAAAATTAAATTAACCGACGTATGAAAATTTTATCATCTTTATTATCAAAAGAATAGGCGAAATTTTGTGGCCAGTGTACTTATATGATAAAATCGGTTTTTATGGTTAAATTTGGTATCGTTGGAAAGGTCTTAATTTAAAGTTGTGCCTTTTCAATGTTTTATATGCTTTTTTAAAATAGCTTATTTATTATGATAAATGATAAGTTTTCGAAAAAGTTATAAATAGATTTGAATTCAGCGATAAAAAAAATTTGTTTATTTATTTATTGATTTTGTTTTGTACACGTGTATGTGGCTATGTGTCAAAAATTAATTTATATAATCAAGAGACTAAGAAAAAAATTTAGTAACGGGTGTATTTTTATCGTAAATTGGGTTTGATATTTTTTTAGCGATAGTTATTTTCAATTTGAATAATATTGAGAGTGAAAGGGAAATTTTGTGACGAGCATATTATTATAATTAAATAAATTTTTATAGTTTAATTTGTTATAATTAGAAAGGTCGAGACAAGAATTAGTCCCTTTTTACAGTTTTATATATTTTTCAGTGATAGTTAATTTTTTATGTTAAGTTTTTGGAGGAGTTTTTAATAGTTTTTAAAATTTTTTCGGTCACATTTTTCCATTAAATTATTTATAATTGATCCTATGATATAGCACTATTATTTTTAAAATTTATTTAAAAAGTACCCAAATTATGTACAGTGTTTATAAATTTAAACAAATCATTAAGCCAAAGATTTCTTATTCATAATTCGTAAATCTCGACAGTCGCATAGTGACTGCAGGTTGCTAGTTTTTTTTTTATTACAATAAATTAAAAAAAAAATTCACATGTAGATTTGAAAAATTATACATGCAATTTTGTTTTCTTGTATTTTTGTATTTTTTTTTTTACTTTTAATTTAATTGATGAAAAAAACAAGTTTAACGTCTGCTAATTTTAGTATCATAAAAATATTTCAATTTTATAAATTTGATAAATTTTGATACGGAAGAAAACATTTATTAATGAGGTGCTTTAATTAGCAGAGAAAATGTTTATAATTTAATTGAATAAAATTACTGACACCGAAATAAAAAATTTTGTGAATACCTCAATGTAAAAGATAGGAAACTTCCAATCCTTCAATAGAAAGCCGTTTCCTGATGGATTCCAAACTTTATTATTATCACATGATTGTATACCAGAGTATCTATTTGGACATGTATCCTCTGGAGAATAAACGGACGGAAATGCTTGACTACTATTCTTTGCTATTAAAATTCCGTTTATGTTATTTGTTGCCTCAAGACGCGATATAACTTCATTTGTAAACATAGTAAAAGGAATGACTACAGTATAAGGCCCAGCTGTTGCATTAGACTCAATCCAATTAACATCTTCAAATGTTTCTATCAACTGTATTACTCCAACACTTCCACCTCTTGTTGCTAAATTAATTATTCATAAATAATAGTTAGTCACAGCAATAAAATCCTTTTTTTTTTTTAATTCTTAATTATCAGTAACTTAACTAGTTAATATTACTAATAACAATAATTAAAATCCAAGCAATACTCACAAGAACATCCAAATTGATGGGTACCATTGTGTCTACGAAAACAAGCAGACGCTCCATCAATTGACATATAAATCATATCTTTTATTCGTTCGGCTGACACTGCAAAGATTTAATGTTTTTTATCAATCACCTCAAATGGCAATAAAAAGTATAAATGTAGCAATTTATTTTACTTACATTTGTTTACTGCAATTGTCAGTGTAATAAATAACTTAAAATATAAAATATATAACATTTTGACAACTTTTTGTGAATATTAAATAAACAAACAAGCAAAACTAACAATACAGGTTAGTTTACTGTATTTTTCAGCGTACATATGAGTCTATAAACTTAACTGTCAGTTATATACACAAAAGTATGGGTGTCACATCCTTTATAGATTTTAAGATGTTTATGTGTATGTAGACACTCGTTTTCATAAATGCTGGAGTCACTGACTTTTTCCAGTGAGCTGATTGCCTTGAATTTTTTACAGTCGAAAAAGTACTGAGTACAATTCAGAAAACTTGGAAAAGTAATCAGTACAATAGTCCATTTGTATTGCACTCATTACTTTGTTTTTATAAATAAATGTGGGGTCATTTGAGTGTGATCCGAACGGAAATGTAGCCAATATAATAATTGTAAAGAAATTCAAAAAGTAACTTGCTCTCTAACAAGTTATATACATTTAATACTTCATACATAACACTTAATATATGTCAAATAATAGTAAATTCTATATAATAAAATACACACATTAAAACATTTAGATATCATATTTATGAAAAAAATTAAACTGTAACCCATGAAACATTACAAAAGAACGACAATTGATCTGTCTTCTAAGTCTTCTAAGTCATAAGAAA